TGCTCCCCAGGCTGGCCGAGCACCCCTCGGCACCCCTTCGCCGCACCTCTCTCCCAACCCCGGCCCCGCTTGGCCCGGAGGCCGGGGTGGGATCCGCCGCCTCAACACAGGCACCATCAGTTTTGGGGTGACTTTGCTTTTTTTGGGCTGGGTTTTCCCCCCACGCCACTCTCTTCACCCACAAAGGTGCCCCCGCCATCCTGCTGTGACCGGATGGTTTTTCTCCTCCCCAGCTCTGAACCGCAAGGCCATCACCACCGGCACTGCCCATCTTCTCCCACCGCTGCTGGATGCCAACGCCGGGGCCAGATTCAGCCTCGGCGAGAAGGTCACGGTGCCTCCAGCCCACCCTTTTCCTCCTCGCTGCCGCCAAGCCCGGCGCTGTGCTGCGGTCATCGTGCGGCAGAGGGGACGTCGGCCGTAGAGGAAACCCGTGCCCGGGGCAAGCAGAGAAAATCCCAGGGGAGGTTTTGGCTATTTGGTTCGTCCTCTTCTGCATGAGACAACCCCGGCTCTGCGGCTCCGCCGGGCGATGGCCACGCAGTGAAGATGTCCGTGGCCAGGCTCAACAGCGTCAATGGCTTTCTGGAGGACGGCAGGATGGAGGCAGGGGACATGGGCAGGATCCTCCGCTGCCTGGAGATGGGCACTGTCCTCACCTTGTTCTATCAGAAGAAGTCGCAGAGGCCGGAGCGAAGGACCTTCCAGGTGAAGCTGGAAACCAGGCAGATCATCTGGAGCCGGACACCCGAGAAGGTGGAAGGGGACAGTGAGTATCGGTGGCCGTGGCACTGAGGGCTGAGGATGTGCCAGTGGGATACCCACCTGCGGTGGGGTGCCTGACTCTGGGGTGTCTGGCCATAGTGGAATGTCCTACCATGGTGGGGTGCTTGGCCACGGTGTACCTAGCCATGGTGGGATGCCCACACACAGTGGGGTGCCTGGCCACAGTGTGTCTGGTCGTGGTGGGATGTTCTACTGTGGTGGGGTGCCTGGCTGTGGGGTGCCTGGCTGTGGGTACCTGGTCGTGATGGGATGTCCTACTGTGGTGGGGTGCCTGGCTATGGGGTGCCTGGCTGTGGTTAGATGCCCTACCATGGTGAGAGGTCCTACTGTGGTGGGATGCCTGGCAGCAGTGGGATGGACAGCTACAGTGAGGTGTGTGGCCACAGTGGGGTGCCTTGTCGTGTTGGGGTGGCTGGCCATGGTAGGGTGCCCACTGCGGTGGGGTGCCTGGACATAGTGGAGTGCCTGGCCTCAGTGAGGTGCCTGGCCACGGTGGGGTGCCTGGCCAACTGGAGTGCCTGGTCCGTGCCCAGCGCTATGGAGTGGCTGGTCATGGTAGGGTGTCCAGCTGTGGTGGAGTGCCTGGAAATAGGGGGGTGGCTGGCTACGTTGGGGTGCCTGGCCACAGTGGGGTGCCTGGCCATGGTGGGATGCCTGACCATGGTGGGGTGCCCAGCTGCAGTGGGATGCCCTGCCATGGTAGGGTCTCTGGCCACGGTGGGGTGTCTGGATGCAGTGGAATGCCCTATGGTGGCAGGGTGCCTTGCCACAATGGGATGCCCAAAGCTGCAAATGCGGGACCTGCTAGGTTGAGGAACCCTCGCCTCCTCCATCGTGGCTCACCTGGCCCATAACTTGCCATGGGGCTCCAGCTGCTGCCATTTCACCCCTGGGATTTTATACCCTCCCTGGCAAGGAGGTAGACAGCTACCACCTTGCCTGCTCATTGTGCTTTTAACCCCAAAAATTAGGTGCTCAGGCTGCTGGGGCAGGCAGCAGCATGGGGTGGAGCATGGTAGTGGCCCTACGCAGCCCAGAGAGAACTTGGCCAGCTAAGTTCTGCCCCACGTGCATTAATGATATCAATGCAAAGTTTGGATGGAGCCTGAACTGGTGGGAACTGGTGGTGCCAGGATCTGGCACAGGAGATGCTCCCACTGGAGGATCCCTAAAAATCACCCTTCCTTGTGGATTCGCTGATGCCTAGTAGGTCATTGGGGCATACTCCCACCACCAGGCTTTGGTGGGGCTCCATGCCTTGGTGCTCGTTACCTGGTTGCTCATTACCTGGAGACTTGCACCTCGTCTTAAACTGAGCTAAAAAGAGCCAATGGATTAAAACACAGGGTTGGCCTGACACAGAACCATACCATCACCTCATCCCACAACCCCATGTGGGGAAAAACCCAGTTTTGGGGTATCATCACACCTGGATGATGGCAGAGCACATCCTGGAGGTTTGGGAGATGGCAGGTGCCATTTCCCTCAGGATTTCAGGGGTGTGCCCTTAAAAATCACCCAGTCACCCACCTAAAAATCACCACTCATTGCTAATTTTGCATAAAATGGAGCAAAATCCCTGGGAATGTTCAGCTCCTGCTTGGAAGGTCTGACCCTGAGGTGGGCTGCTGGCCGTGGAGAGGCTTTGAGTTGGGAAGAAGGGTGGCACCCAGAGATGAGCATCGGCATGAGCAGGATCCGTGCTTGTCCGGACCTGCTGGGTGCAGGAGGCAAACTCACCACCAGCCCTTGCGGGGAAGCAGATTTGTGGGAGGAGGAGGGATGAGCGAAGGGAGGAAGAGCACCCATTTTTGGAGAAGTGGTTTTGGTCCTCACAGGGAAGTGCTCATTCTCTGCTCGCGGAAATAATGTGTTTCCAGCTCCTTGGGTTTTTTTGGGAGTACCATGCGCCACCAAGTCGGGGTCTCAGGTCACTCCCGATGCCCTGCCTCAGTTTTCCCACCTAGGGATCTGGCTTATCCCATGCAATGGCCCAAAACCCACCGTGGGAATGAGTGGGCATCCTCTGAGGTCATCTAGAAGGGGGGGAAAAAAAGGAAAATCCCTCTGGAAATGGTACAGTCCTTCCATCCAATCCCACCAGCTGCTTCCTCCAGCCCTGGATGGGAGCAATCCCGGTCTTGGTGCTTGTCTGGAGCATCTTCACCCCCTGGTCCAGCCCCTCTCTCTGCTCTCACGTCCTGCCACTCACTGTGATTTTATGGAAGCGCCAGGATCTCCTATTCATCCCTGGGGTCTTGCTCCCAACCCTACGCCCAACCTCACGGCTGCCCCGGCCATTTTAAATCCCCCCTTCAAGCAGGCACCCTGCTTGCAGAGGGATTAGCAGGGTCCACCGACAGCGCTGATGTCTCTGTTACGGACTGGCAGGGCCCCACACCATGCAGGCTAATTACATGCTTTGTTAAGCAGCCGATGGATGCATGTCCATGCCGATGGGGTCGCCTGTAGCATCACCTCCAAAATTAACCTCATCCTGGAGGCTTTCCAGCTCATCACCCTTGGCAGACCCAGGTCCCCAGCACAAGGATGAAATCTAGCGGAAAACAGCCCAAAAGGGATCTTTGCAAGAAATTAAAAGAAATATGAGTGAGGGCAGCTTGGCAAACCCAAGAGCATTTCGGAGGGGTGGTTTGCCACAAGGACAGCTAATTGGGATCACACCTCCTGCCTCGCTAATGCCAAATAATTAGAAATAGGACTGTTTGGGGAGGAGAAAATCCTGACGCGGTTTAACACCACCAGACCAGGATGAAATCTTTTATTTCAGGTTTTAAATCACCTTCACAACAGCATGAGGAGCCCTGGGGGATGTGGCCACCTGGTCCCCCCCCATACAGGAGGATCTGAGCTGCCCCATGTCCCACAAGAAGCAAGGACGGAAGCAAACACGAGGGGACGTGGCTCATGCCACTGTGGCTCTGCCTGGGCCAGTGGGATTTCCCAGCACAACCATTCCCTCCAACCACTTTGCTTTGCTTTTCTCCTGGGAAAACTCCCAGGCTCTCAGCATCACTGAAAGCCACTGGGCAGACCCTGGTCCTACATCATTTTCCCACCATCCCTATATTTAAAACCTTCTTTGCACTATGTTGCTCATTTTGCATTAGAAGAAAAAAGGGAATTTTGCAGCTGGAACTGACTTCCAGAGTGCTTTAATCACCCAGGACCCCTGAGACAATGCAGGGAGGAGTTTGGAGACATAGTTCTGACATGATCGCTGCAAATCCGCTGCAGATGTGGTTTCCAGGAAGCCGCCGTCCGCGTTGCATTGTTCAGCCCCGCGCCGCTCCCTCTTCCTCTGGCTTTTTGCAGGGCCGGGCTACTTGTCCTGAGGAGAAGGACTTGGGAGTCCTGGTGGATGAAAAGCTGGACACGAGCCGGGAATGTACACTTACAGCCCAAAGGCCAACCGTGTCCCGGGCTGCCCCCAAAGCCGCGTGGCCAGCAGGGCGAGGGAGGGGGTTCTGCCCCTCTGCCCCGCTCTGGGGAGACCCCCCTGCAGGGCTGCGTCCAGCTCTGGAGCCCTCGGCACAGGAGAGACACGGACCTGCTGGAGCGGGGCCAGAGGAGGCCCCAGCAACGCTCCGAGGGCTGGAACAGCTCTGCTGGGAGGACAGGCTGGGAGAGCTGGGGGGGCTCAGCCTGGAGCAGAGAAGGCTCCGGGGAGACCTTCCGTCAGCTGACCAGGACTCAAAGGGGGTGATAAGAAAGATGGGGACAAACCTTCTAGCATGGCCTGTTGCAATAGGACAAGGGATGAACGGTTTTAAACTAAGCGAGGGGAGATTTAGACTAGATATAAGGAAGAAATTTTTTATGATGAGGGTGGTGAACCCCTGGCCCAGGTTGCCCAGAGAGGTGGTCGATGCCCAAGCCCTGGAAACATCCCAGGTGAGGTTGGACGGGGCTCTGAGCAACCTCCTCTGGTTGGAGATGTCCCTGCTCACTGCAGGGGGATTGGACTAGATGGCCTTGAAAGGTCCCTTCCAACCCAAACTGTTCTATGATTCTATGGTTTTTGGTAGTGCCCAGAGGTCAGGTCTGAGGCCAGATCATGGCAACGTTGAAGCCGGGGGTGGCTGCGTTGTAACTTATTGGCAGAGGCTCAGTAGCCACCAGCCTCTCACCCCTCTCTGTTGCCCTGGGACAACCGGCAGTGGGCAGGTTTGGGGATGTGTATGTGGTTTTTAAACTATAAACCCATTTTTACCCACAAATACTTGCCTGTTTGTACCAAAGCGGGTTTGCTCTGAGCCATGGGGGCTTAACGGAGCCAGCAACAGGGATTAGTTTCTTGAGATCTCATCCCAAAACAAAGCACACGCAGGGGTGCAGACCCCCCATGCATCGCTTGTGCTGAAATCACACCATGGCCCATGAAATTTGGCTTGCAGTCATTCAGTGAGGGAAGGCTGGATAAAGCCTCCAGTGTTTTCTGGAGCTGTTCTGCCAAGCAAAACTATTCTGCACCTCTTTTCTTGCTTAATCAGCTATATTTCTCCCCCACCCCTTATTCCTCCCTGCATTCGGCTTTTCTTTCCCAACTTTGGATTAGGCTGAGGGTTTCCATCGAGGCACAGACATGCCTGCACCCTTCCCCACCACCACATCGGAAATGCAGCTGGGCTGGAAATTCTCCGGGAAATGACCCATTTCCTCAGCAGGACAATACCCCAGCATGGTGGTCCGGTCGCCCTCGGCCGCACAAAGCCCTTTCCGGTGCCGGCACCTCAGCCCCAGAGGGTAAAGCTCCCCAGGGGTGATGCTCATGGTATCAAGAACAACTTTGGGTGTTATTACTAATATCATCATATTATTATTCTGCTCCCGGTGGGACTTGTCCGCTTGGAAAAACCAGGGGTTGGAAATCTCTCCCGGCTGTGTAGCAGCGAGGAAGACAGCAGTCCGGAAACCCAGCCCTCCCGCCACCGGCAGGGCTTTATATAGCGAGATAATGAGAGAGCAGCACGGCAGGAAAGAAACGCCCTGTGGTCTGGGCTGCCAGGGCTCCAAATTGCCACCTTTGGGCAGATGTCTTCAATTAAAAGATGAGCTCAGCCTGCCCCAAAGCAGGGTCTGTCCTGGGGAGGAGAAGGCAGGGGAAAGGTGGCTGGTGATGTGCTGGTTGGGATGGGGCAAGCTGAGCCTGGAGGACACATGGCACCCACAAAGCTGGGAAACTGGTGGGCAGCACTGTGGGCATGCCACATCCTGGGGACATGAGTCGCTGGAGTACACACAGGAGTGAGGTGCCACCACACACCTGGGGGCAGTTCTGCAGGGGACACCCCCATCCTGGGGACGTGATGCCCTGGAGGACATACGGCCATGGGAACCATGGTGCTGTCACACAAGTGCAGCAACAGTGCAGGAACATGGATCCCTAGAAGATGCATGGCCATAGCACCTGTGACGGTATTGTATACCAACGGGCAGTGCCACAGGGATGCCCCACTCTGGGGATACAGTTCCCTGAAGGATATGCAGTATCCATAGTGCCATCACACTAGCAGACACATCACTGGAGGGCAGTGGGGGCCTATTTCCCTAGAGGACACATGGCCACAGCACCCATGATAACATCACACAATGCTCCCCAAAGGGCATGTGGTCTCCCAGCAGTCCCATTTCCCACAGCGTCCCTGAGCCCCACACATGTGTCTGCGGTAGCAGGGTAGCTGAGGACAGTCCCATGTCCCTCTGTCCCTGCAGTCGACATTCGGGAGATCAAGGAGATCCGCCTGGGGAAGAACTCGCGGGACTTTGAGCGCTACCCCGAGGACGCTCGCAAGCTTGACTTCACCATGTGCTTCATCATCCTCTACGGGATGGACTTCAGGCTACGGACGCTCAGTGTGGCCGGTGCGTGAGCTCCCTCCCCATTGCCCCCACCCACCCTCGGGCTCTCACCCCCTCCTCAGCATCCCATCTCCCCCATCCCAGCCTCACTACCCTCCTCTTCCTCCTCCAGCTTTCTGTGAGGAGGACATAAATCTGTGGATAACTGGCCTCAACTGGCTGGTGGCAGACACCCAGAAAGCCCAAACCCCACTGCAGATTGAGAGGTGAGGAAGGACCCGTAGGTCCCATTTCCCAGTCCCCATTCTGGGGACAAAATCCTCCTGGGTTTGGTCTCCTCTGGAGCTGAGTGCCATCTGTCCATCTCTTCCCTCCCAGGTGGCTGCGGAAACAGTTTGACGGGATGGACCGGTCGCGGGAAGGCAGGTGAGCACCGGCATGGCCCAATGCTGGGAAGTGGCCGGAGGGTTCGGCTGGACAGGGCCATATCCCCCCAGCTGTACCCCAAAACTGGAGGCTGAGCCAGGCTGGGAGCGGAGTTTGTGGGGAAAGGTAGTATCAGGTTACCTGGGATTCTCAAAGGCACAAAAATCAGAGGCTCAAGTGCAAGTCTCCTCCTCACTGCTATACGGACCATGGGCACCCCGATGCCTTCATGCCTGCTGCTGCATTTCCACCAGCACGAGGACGGGATGGACAGCCCATAAACATCTCCCCAAGACAGGAAAAAACCCAAATCAAGTGAATTTGGACTTAACTTACTATGGGGATGGACATCATCTTCAGATGTGATGATGGCTTAGAGCACCCAGATTGTTCCCAGATGTGCTCCCTTTGCCTGACCCTCTGCTCACATTTGCACCAGACTCCGTGTAATTAGGGGTCCTGTGCCACTGCGGGGGTCCACAGCGTGATAGGGTGGAAGCTCTATGCCCAAAACCATGCTGGCACCAGGATCTGGGGTGGCACACGCTGTGTCAGGAGCTGAGACCTGTCTGGGGTTTATCCATCCTCTGAGGGCTGTGGCCAGTGCCCTGACACCAAGTGATCTTCCTGCAGCATCACAGTGAAGGACCTGAAGGCCATGCTGCCTCAGGTGAACTACCGCGTCCCCAACATGAGGTTCCTGCGGGACAAGCTTGTGGTAAGGAACCCCTGGGCAGCCCAGCTATGCAGGGAGAGGGTCCTCAAGTCCCTGCAGTTGGGCTGGAGCCAGCCCTGGTATTGCTGGCTCCGGTTGGGTGGCCCTGCTCTCATGCATCATCGTCTCCCACAGGAGGTGGAAGCCAGGAATGAGATGACTTTCTCCCACTTCATCCAGTTCTACAAAAACCTGATGTTTGATGCACAGAAGTCGGTAAGAGCCATGGCTTGTCTTCCTGAGCATCCCCCACTGGTGTGGTACATCCCCAGCCAGCTAAGCCTGGTCCCCTCCTTTGCCTTGCAGGTCATTGAGCAGCTGGAGCTCTCCTTCCCCTTGCGGTAAGTACCCAGGAGCCCAGTGGTTCCCATCTTGGCCAAGCCTCCAAGGGTCAGATCCATCAAGTGGGCAATGCAGCCGGTCTGTGGGGCAGAGCAGGGGATGGGAGCAGGTGTACGAGCATGAATATTGAGAGGGGATGGGAGCAGGAATTTTGAGTAGGGATGGGTGCCAGGGATGTAGGAACATGTCTCCCTGCCCTCCTCGCATATGCTCTGGCATTGCTGCACCCTCTGGCTGCATGCCCACCTCTACCAGGTCACAGGGTGACACTGGGAGTGTTTGCTCTGGCAGCACCCAACAGCTTGAGGTGCTCCTTGCACCCCCATGGCCTGCGCTTTCTCCAAGTCCCTTGCCAGCTGCCATGGTGACCAGGAGCAGGGCAGGAGTGGGGGGCATCAAGGGGCCAAGCTGCAAGTGGACACTGGCAGCTTCAACTCCTCCGTGGGACTACCCCAACTCCTGCTCCTGGTCATGGTGATGGCTGCTCCATGTTCCAGGAATGTGGACCGCCCCGAGCTGTGTCAAGTCTCCCTTTACGACTTCCAGAAGTTCCTGCTGCACGACCAGAAGGTGGGTGCCCTTAGAGACCCCTGCAGCATCTCTCTCAGACCCACCCTCGGGAACCACCATGGGATGCCTCAGCCTGGTCCCCTCCATAATGGTGGCTGTGTTTGCACCTCAGGAACCCTGGGCCAATGATGTGGGCATGGTGCGGGACTACATGTGCACCTACCTCAAGGAGAGCTCCAGTGAGGCAGCAGACCCTTCTTTCCAGCTGGATGAGGTGGGTGGCCCCATGTGGCACCCACCCAGAGGTGTCTCCCCACCCCTGGCAGTTTCTGACCTGTCTGCTTCCCTCCTAGTTCCTCACATACCTCTTCTCCAAGGAGAACATGGTGATGGATGCCAAGTATGAACGTGTGGTGCCTGAGGAGATGAACCATCCCCTGTCCCAGTACTGGATCTCCTCCTCCCACAACACGTAAGGACAGAGTGGGGTCTCCTCAGGGACCTCCATGAGCATCCCATCACCCTGGCCAGGGCAGCCCTGGCCACTGATGGTCCCTCTCTCTCCTCTGCAGGTACCTAACAGGGGACCAGTTCTCCAGCGAGTCCTCCTTGGAGGCGTATGCACGCTGCCTGCGCATGGGCTGCCGCTGCATCGAGCGTGAGTCACTCCAGCACCCTGCAGTCATGCTCAGTCCCCCCCCAGAACCCCACAGTCCATCAGACAGTCACCTGCACCCATCCCATAGCACTGTATGGGAGGTCCTCCATGTCCTTTGGGGGCCCAAAAACATGGTCCCCAGTGCACAGTCGGTGACAGACATGTATTAACTGAGGTGTCTCCCCACTCAGTGGACTGCTGGGATGGCCCAGACGATCTCCCCATCATCTACCATGGCCACACGCTCACTTCCAAGATCAAATTCCTGGATGTGTTGCACACCATCAAGGAGCATGCATTCGTCACCTCGGAGTAAGCCCCAGCCCCTGCAACACCATCACAATTCTGGGCCAGGCAGGCAACCCCTGCCTGAATTCCCCTCTCCTTTGCCTTCATCCCAAGCCGCCATTCCCACCTGCTTCCTCCAGGTTCCCCATCATCCTCTCCATCGAAGACCACTGCAGCATCGTCCAACAGAGGAATATGGCCTCCCACTTCAAGAAGGTGTTTGGGGATATGCTGCTCACCAAGCCAGTGGACATCAATGCTGATGAGTTGCCCTCACCCACCCAGCTCAAGAAGAAGATCCTAATCAAGGTGCAGAAGGGGCACCACCCCAAAGCTCCTGTTTGCAGAAGAGACAAAGACCGTGTTGGGTTGGGAGGGATGGTGACTCTCCCAAATCTTGGGACTCAACAGCAATATCCCTCCATGCACAAGCAGTAGGACGTTAGAGAGATGTCCTACTGCAAGAGAGGGGCAAGGGGAACAGGGGATAATGGAGGGGGACCTGCAGGAGCCTGAGTATGGCCTGAGAGCTGGGAGCTTAGTGTGATGGGGACAATGTGCCCACCACTGAGCTCCTCTGTCTGGGCTGTCCCCAGCACAAGAAGCTGGTCGAAGGGAACTTGTACGAGGAGGTCTCCACCGCCAGTTACTCAGAGAATGACATCAGCAACTCCATCAAGAATGGCATCCTCTACCTCGAAGACCCCATTGACCACGTAAGGGTCTCCCTGCTGCTGGTGGCTGGGGGACGAGTGGGGTCTGTTGGACAGGGATGAGCATCAGGGTTTGGGTTGGGTGTGGGGCATGGGCTCTCCTAGACCATTGCAATGCCATGGCGGGACGGGGCAGGGGCAGAAATGGAGGTCTCAAAACCCCGTCCCTCCATGTCACCATCCTGCCCACTTTGGTGATGCTCTTCCCCCCTCCCAGACCTGGAGCCCCCATTATTTCGTCCTGACAAGCAACAAGATCTACTACTCAGAGGAGACGTCCCGCTACCAGTTCAATGAGGATGAGGAGGAGGTGGAGCAGAAGGAGGTGTGTGAGGGGCAGGATGCATCCACAGGGCAGGGGGATTTAGGGAGGATTCTGTGGGGAGGGTGAGAGGGTGGCAATGCCCATTTTGTGGTGAACTTGCAGGAATTCAACAACAATGAGCTGCACTTCACGGAGAAGTGGTTCCATGGGAAGCTGGGAGGTGGCCGTGACGGGCGGCAGATTGCTGAGAAGCTGCTGCACGAGTACTGCACCGAGACAGGTGGCAAGGATGGCACCTTCCTGGTGCGCGAGAGCGAGACCTTCGTAGGCGACTACACCCTCTCCTTCTGGTAGGAGCCCTGGGGGCAGGCAAGATCCCACTGTTCCCGAGCCAGTCTGGGTGTCCCACTGGGGGTCCAGCTGATCCCTGGTTTGGCAACTGGAATGGTGTTTTAGGTGGGGGGAAATGCCACCTTTTTGTGTGGCACATAGACCCCCGAGCATGGGATGGTGGGGACGTGGACACAAATTGATTTGCTCCTGCCTTCTCTCCACCACCATGGCAGGAGGTCTAGCCGGGTGCAGCACTGCCGGATCCATTCACGGCAGGAGGCCGGCGCCACCAAGTTCTA